GGGAAGGGCGGCCGCGGGCCGCGCCGTCGGGAGGCGCAGAAGCGACTCCGCTCCGCGCTCCGGGCCGGGTCTTGCAGGCCGCGCCGTCCGGAGGAGCAGAGGCGGATCCGCTCTGACTCTGCCTTCGCTCTCCGGGTTTTGCGGCCGCGCCCAGCCCCCCGCGGTGACTCCCGCGGTCGCCGGCGTCAGGGCGAGGCTGCCGCCCGCCTCCCCACTGGGCATGCGCGGCCGGACCACCCGGAGCCGGGAGGAGGGGGCGTGCGCGGGACTTGGGGCTGGAGTTCGATGTCCGGGGTGCAGCCTGGTGTCTGTGTTGTCCGAAGCCGGTGGGAGGACCCGCGCATCACAGGGTGGAGGTCTGGAGGTGCTGGGTGCTGAGCTGCGGGTTCCAGCGGGGCTGCAAGCAACGGCGGGTGGCCGGCGGGTCGCGGCCCCTCTCCCACCCGAGACCGGCGGGACGTCCGAGACTGCTTGCTGAGGGCCGGGCCAGTGAGCTCCCCGCGCGCTGTGTGCCCTTCCCGCCAGCAAGCAGGCCCTCCCTGGGGTCCCCCGAAGAGACTCCTCTTCCTCTCCCGCTGTCCACGCCTTTTCCTGCGCAGCCCTGAGCGACTCTAGAGGCCAAGACGCGGGGGCTGTGCAGGCTGGGTCCCCGCTGCGCCCCAGGGCGCCCTGCAGAGATAGCAGCTCTGCGGTGCCCTTTTCACGGGCTACCGGCGCGAGGCTCCATTACCAAGTTAAAGCGCATTAGGCAATAATACTTATGCCTTCTGTCGTGTAAAAAGTACCACAGGCAGGAAGACGTGAAATTTTAGAAAGTAGTTTTTCCAGGTAGAATCTGGATCCTTGTAGATACTCGTGGAGAAAATGCGGAGCGCCACCAAAGCGCGGAAGTCCTTGGCACACACTCTCACCACTCCCACCGAGAAGTCTGGCCTTGACCCCTGGGCGCAGACCTTGTGGCTCCGCAGCCTCGCGGCTCCAAACCTCTCAACCCTTGCCTTGCAGGTTTGTCCTCAAAAATCCTTGAACCATACACTGATAAGGGTGGAGCTGGGACGGGGGTCCAACAGCGCCACACACACGCACCCCGCACCCTGCATCTTGCTGTCTTGTGCCAGCCTAAACTGGTCTCTTACCCTCTTCTCAGAAAACTGTGTTGACTGGTCCCACTGTGCAGTTCAAGGACCTGCGACTTAGAAACTAATAAGAAAGATGCAGACGCAGGTAATGAAGGTAGGAGTCAGCTGCCTGCTTCTGGGGTCACAGCATGCCCCCTCTTAGACCCTCAGCCTTTGATACCCCAGGAAGTCACAGCTCCAACACCTGACAATAATGCCACCCCGTGCTTTCCCTCGTTATGACCTGCACCTGGAGTCCCCTGAACATCTGACCCCCTTGAAACCAGAGTTTCCACGGGCCTTGGTGACCATGACCTCAAAGGGGTAGCCCTGACACAAGTGACCCACACCTCCATGATGTGTGCCCCCTCAGCTTCCCCTGGAACCCCCAAGCCTGGTAAAGAGGCCCAAGACTGGGAGGTGCCCTGGGGCCTCCTCATTCTGCTGGCGGGTGCCCACTCCACCAGCAGCCCCAACCCATTTCAGGGGTGCCAAGACCCACCCACCCCCAGAGTGTCTCAGCCCCTGCAAAGATCAGACTCGAGGCAGGGGAACATCTATTGCAATTCCTGTTCTCAGGACTCAGACACAAGGTCAGTGGTGCTGGGAAAGCACACAGTCCAGGGGACCCAGGCCCATTTTCCCTCCTGCAGTCCGGATCACTGCAGTTTTGGGAGGCTATAGGGCATCCATTCCCAGGAGACTCCTGAGCCCTCACAGCCCCCTTCACCAGTTCATCAAAAACATGAGGATGCTGGATCCCACACAGTGTTGCTCATCTAAGATCCGAACCACTGGCTTCCATACCTCTCCTACTCAAGGTGGCCCCTCCTAAGCCATTTGCCCCCCCCAGCACGCTCTCTCTCTCTCTCTCTCTCTCTCTCTCTCTCTCACTCACACACACACACACACACACACACACACACACACACACAGACACACACACACCTACCCAATCCCTGGGAGGTCAGCTACCTGCACCCAGCTCTGCCTGCCCTTTGTCCTCCCCTACTGACCCAGGCTAAGGTGACCGGTGGAGGACAGCTCTAATATCCTGAGGTCTGAATGCCTGCCCTGCCCTGTCCTAGACCTCAGGCTTCTGATTTCACCTCTCTGAGCTGCTTTTCTCAACGGCCAATCTCAGATTAATCATATCCACCCTCCCGAGATTAAATGGGCTAACTGATGTCAGTGCTGGGCCCTGTGCCTTAGCTCCATGCCCTGCTCGGCCCACCCATGTGACTCCTTCAGTCCGGGCCTAGACTGCTACAAACTGTTGGAAGAAATGAAGTTACCTTGAGTATTAACACCCCTGCAAATCTACAGCTTCCAACTTCTTCAGGATTCTTTACCCTAACTTTCAAAGTTTTGCCTGTGATTTAACATTTTTTTCATTGCTTTTAAATTACATGATCTGTCGTTGACACACAAAGACATGCTGGGACAATAGTAAGACATTCAAACTAAGCAGAGCTATATAAAGTATGCAGAAGCAAAGTCTTCCTTCTCCCCTTCCCCCTCTCGCCAAGGCAGAGGGAACTAGTGTTTCCAGCTCAGACTGCAGGCTTCCAGTCCTGGTTCAACACTAAACGTGTTGAAAGCACATGCGTACACACAGGCACGGTTATCCCAGTATTACAGGGTGACAGGGAAGATCCCGGACTGTAACTCCTCTAGGTGGAATGGCTCACTCTGCAAGTGTCTTGCCCACCTCCAGCCCAGCTCTGAGAGACCAGAGAGCACCCCTGCTACAGCTGAGAGACTGGAAAGTGGACTCTCTGGCCATCCTCTCTGCCCTTAGATAAAGGGGTCAGCCAGCCCCAGAGGCAAGTCCTGTCTTGGCCATCTTCTCCAGATTCGTGGGTCCTCCTTATCTTTATTTCTCCTAATATTCCCTAACCTTTATAAAGTGTTTTTGAATGTTCCTTTCTCAGATAAGGGAGGAACCACATGACCACCTTGGGGCCAAAACTGTAAAGAGGGAGCAGCGTTCTGACTGGAGGTCAGAACGGTGGAGGAGGAAGACCCTGGGAGCAGTGCCCGACCTCCCCCTCCAGAGTTCAGCAGCTTCCTGGGCATCCCTCATCCATTTGGCTCCAGAGCTCCATTCCTGTGGTCCTCCTCCCCTTGATCCCTGGATGGACCTAGGAGTCCAGCCAAGCCCATACCAAGGCTCTGTCCCCTTGCCCGCCCCATGCCCTGTTCTGGAACTCCACCTACCCTTTCCCACAAAGCAACTTAGCAAGACTCTGTTTCAAAATTTAGAAAAATAATAATAAGAAGAAGGGCTGGGGATGTAGCTCAGTGGTAGAGCACTTGCCTGGTACATGCAAACCCCTGCATTCAATCCCCAGAACCATATACACACATGTGCAGAAAAAAAAGTGCCTGGTCGAGTGGTGTGTAGAGGAGAAGCCGTGTGACTGACTATGTGGCAATCCTGGGGTGGCCTCACTCAGAACATACTGATCCTCAGGACACAGGCCAGCTAAGTAGGCAGAGGCAGGACTCCCCATCCTCCAGCTCTTGGTCTTCCCTGGGAGCCTCAGTCCCACCCAAATGCTCCCTGAAAAGGAAGAGGTTTGGCTTCTAGAGCGTGGGACCCCTGCTGGCCACAGCTCTGTGAAGACACACGTGGGAGAAGCCCAGGTCTCACAGCCTGGAGGACAGAAGCAGCATGTCAAGATGGCCGCGGGGTGGGACACGGGCTCCCAGCCAAGCACATGTTTTGCTCTCAGCACAGCACTGTGGTGTGATTGCTGCCATCTCCCACACAGCACCACCCCTCACCCTGTTTGACAGAGGAGAACAGTGAGGCTTTGCAGAACCAGGGACGCACAGGTGTTTAATAAAGCTTGGTACCTTTCCTCTCCTAGGACCTCTAATGTTAAAAGCATGCTTCCTTATACAAGGAAGGCCACTGATTTCCAGCTAGGAACCCTCAAGGTATTGAATGGGGCAGCTCCAGCATGTCAATGCTACGAAACCGTTCCCTGGAGCATGGCTAACGACTGTTGGCACTGTCATCTCACAGTGTCTAGGTGTCCCAGGAAGTCCAACAAGACACAACTTCATGCTACAGTAGGGGTGAGAGCACCGCAGATGACATCTGTCATTAGGAGCAGGTGACCTCGCTTATGGCCAAGATTCTAGACAATCAGAAGTTATTAAGATGAAAGATTCAAAGCAAAGCATTGGCATTGCCACTCCATACCAGAAATAACAAATTGGAAAATACGGTGACAAAGGTCACAGGGAGTGGACCTGTATGTGGAAGCCAGGTCTGCCCGGGCCTCACCATATGGAGCATGCTCTGTATGTGGCTAGCTCTTCCCGTCTCCTAACCCAGGCCTCCAGCTCCCTGCGGACCTTCAGCCGGGCCCTTCCAGCTGCACCTGAGGACAGGAAGTGAGGTTCCTCACATTATCCTGCACTGGTGGCTGTCAGGTCAGTCCCCAGACCCTGACCCTGTGATAGGAAAGGTCCTGAAGCTGCTCTGGTTCAGGGCACAAGTGGGGGAAGTGCACTTCCAGTGCCCAGGTGTGACTCAGTTTACCCAGACTCTGGAAGTCCTAGTCAAGGCAGGATGGGTGGTGCCCTGTGGCTTTCGGAGTTTAGGACTGAGCAAGGGCCCTTCCAGCTCTGCTCGCAGACTTCCTCTTGGGAACTCACACCCACACCATGGCAGGACAGAGAGAGCCAGAGCCATGCTGACTTCTCTGTCCTCCTCACCACCCCCTTCCACCTCAGACCCACCGGCAGCTCACGCTACCCAGGAGCATCTGCGCCTGAATCTCCCTGCAGCCCTGAGGGGTTGGCCTTACCACCCTTGCTCCATCGGAGAGGGAATGGAGACTCAGAGAGGCTAAGGAACTTGTCTTCAGTCACACAGCCCGTGGCAGAAGCAAGTTGCCACCAGTGGCCTACCTGACCCCAAAGCCCAACGTGTCTACACTGTGTAAGAGCTTCCATGAAAATAAACTGTGGTGGTGATAAGTTAAACACGGGAAACAGGAGCCCGACATCACAGGAAGTGAAACACGATATAGCCCAGAGCAACTGTGGGCTGTTTCGTTCCCAGCATAGATGGGAGGCAAAATGCAAAGCAGCACACCTGTTCCCAGAAGTATTTGGGGGTTTTTAAATGTCAGCCACAATGCTCATGAATCACTCTCTTTAAAGCTGTTAATCCAAATAGCCCCCTCTTTCCCCTGTGCCGCTCAGGATTCATTGAGAGTCCTCTGCTGGCCTGAATCCCAAGTCAGACTCAGGCCTGCCAGGCCCTGTGGGAAAACTCACTCTCTTCTCAGGGAAGGTCTGTCCCCAGGTCCCCAGGTTTGCTGTAGGAGGGAGAGAACTTGTCCCTCTGGTGACAGCACAACCGGAACATCGAGGAACAGGCAGAGCAGAGTCATAGCCAAGGTCCCAGAGTCATCCGCTCACGTGCGGGCTCTTCACTGAGGGCCTGTGACGTGGGACCCCAATGACCACAGAACAGGCCCTGCCGTCTGTGGCAGGCAGGCGTTGTCCAACCTCGCAGGCGGTACCCAGCTGTGACAGGAGTGTCCCTATGAGCTGGTGAGGACAGTGACGTAGGAAAAGTTCTGTGTGTACAGGGGTAATCAAAATACACAGTGAATGGGCTGGGGATTTAGCTCAGCGGCAAAAGCGCCTGCCTGGCAAGC